TTGTATCTCAGCTGAATGATTTTGATGAACGACTTAACCATCTAGCTCATATGTATATCTATATGTTTACATTGTAAAGGTAAGACTTGACTTGTCGGATTTCTACTTCTTTTTTTTTTTAACAACTTAAACAATGAATTTGTCAATTCAACACTTCAATGAACAAATTGAAAGAGTATTCCAACAACACCGTCAACAACAACAACAAGATGGAGAAGAATTCAACGAATAAAGGTGAATGTCGATGGTGTAGTGAAGAAAATATGACAAAGAATGAGACAGATATAAATAAACTAAAACGATAGGGTTGTGGTTTTTTTTTGGTTTTTTTTTGTTTTTTTTTGTGTTTTTCGTTTTTTTGTGTTTTTTGTTTGTTTTTTATGGAAAAAATTTTCTACTCTTGAGATAGAAAACAAAATAGAAATAAAAAAATTTTCTGGGAAAAAATAAAAAAATTGAGTAATCATAATGATTATAAGCTAAAAAATAATTATGATTACTATTTATAAAATAATTGACAAGTATTATGATTTCCTGGTACTATTATTAGTAGTACCCAATCCTACTATACGATGGCTGAAACGTGGAGAACTATGAGGATCGCCAAAGCAAGAACCGCATTTCTACAATTGAAGAACATATGGAACTAAAAACAACTGTCAATCAATATGAAAGTCAGAACTTTCAATATGAATATCAAGACTGTATTACTGTACGAAGCTGAAATGTGGAAAATCACTACATCCATCGTCAAGAAGGTACAAGTATTTATAAATAGTTGTTGTGTACGCAAAATACTCAACATTCACTGGCTGGATACTATCAGCAACAGCGTTTTATGGGAGAGGACAAATCAGCTTCCAGTTGAACAAACGTTGGATGTGGATAGGATATACATTTAAGCGCCAACTTGGAATCCGGAAAGGAAGCGGAAAAAAGGAAGGTCAAAGAACACATCACACCGGGAAATAGAACCAGATATGAAAATGATGAATGTTAACTGTAAAGAACTAGAAAGGAAGGCTCAAGAGAGAGTTGTATGGAGAATGCTGGTGAGCGGCCTATGCTCCTCCATGAGGGATAACAGGCGTAAGTAAGTCATTATTAGTACTGATGTGAACACTGTTGCTACTCTGAGATAAGATGGTAGTTGGAGGTGGTTGACAGGAAACCCTAGACCCAGGTTTCATGCTACTTGGCACTCGTCAGTAAGGTGTACCTGTAATCTTGATAGAACTGATGCTCCGTGTTGGATCCGATCCCGTGTCACCCAGTTTCACAGTCAGAGACGTTACCACTGACCCATTTGGGCCTCAAACGACCTCCTGTAAAACTGAGATGTAATCATAATTGATTGATCACTGGGTGTTGATCAATGTCATGTGTGTCAAGTCCTTCTTAGTGTAGATCGAATGCTATGGATCACAGGATTGAATCCCTCAGGGAGCACTAGTTCCCTCAAGATTACAGGTACACCTTAATGACGAGTGCCAAGTAGCATGAAACCCGTGTCCACGGTTTCCTGTTGACCAACTCCAACCACCATCTTATCTCAACATAGTGCATGCAGTGTCGAGCCACCTAGACTAGTGGTCACATTGCAACTTGATCGATGCCAGAAGATCGATGAGCAAAGAACAGGAACGAAGTACAATCGGTATGAAAATGTATGAATAATGAAATCAGAGAGGATGGATTGATATTTACAAGATTGAGTCAATTGATTGATAGTTTGCAAATTAACTGTTCATTGTATGGTTATCAGATTTTAGTGAGATAGTCTGCAAACTTATGGTTAGATACATTTGATTGTCCCCCAACCGTGTTCTTGGTCACTACACTACTACTACTAGAGTAGTAGTAATAGTTGTAATGTGTTATATTCTCATCATATGAGTAGACTGTTATCAATGTTACCGGTGTTTCACATATTCATCAACTGGAACAATATAAACTAGTAAAAGAAGTCAATGTCCCCTTTCTTATCTTTAGGTTCTTCCTACCCACATATTTTGAGCATAGTATGCATTGTGAAATAAACAGATACACAAACTTATATAGATAAACATCGAGTTATTCATATCTTGTTGTTGTTGTTGTTGATAAACTACTTCCTTGTTTTTTCAATGATTAAAAATGTTGTTCATTTCTTTTAGTAACCATTATGGGTTGGAGAATGCTAGTCGGCGGTCTATACTCCGTTAGGAGTAACCGGAGTAAGTAAGTAAGTAAGCATTATCTTATTAATATTTTAACTTCAATATAACTGATGATATGAGTAAAGATTCCTAGATGAACAGATCAGTGATTTCTATTAAATAAACATAGGAGCTATTTAAATCGAGTGGTCTGTCGGTTAAGTGCTCTGGCGAGAGACTGGTAGGTCCTGGGTTGGAATCTCGCCAGGTGGGATCATGGATGCACACTGCTGAGGAGTCCCATAATAGGACGAAACGGCCGACCAGTGCTTTCAGGTTTTCGATGGTGGTCTAGCTTCAATTAACTCATCATCTCATCATCTCAACTATCGCATGTGGTTATCGATCTCAACTCGTAGAAAACTAACTCGTTAAAAAATACTCTAACCATAAAAAAAGATATTAGAGATTAGAAGCTGCCAAATTAAGACTTCAAATTGGTATGATTGTTCATTTCACAAGGTCTTCGGTTTTAATAATATGATCAATATGGATTATATCTAGAATAGTAGTATGAAATACTAGTTGTGAGTGGAAACCCTAGAAACAGAAGGATATGCAGGTAGACTTGAAGAATCATACAATATGTGAAAGAAAAATGATGAAAATTTGCAAATTAGGTATTCAATGTGTTATGACTTGACCTAGCTGTCGCCGATTTGTTATGTTTTTGACCTAGGCGATAACCAATTGCTATGACTTGGTCAAGGTCGTCGCTGATTCGTTATGACCTTACGAATTTAACAAGGACGTAATTCGCGTAAATTGTCCACCAATAGAATACGACTTCTACGACTTTCACACTGTGACAATGACGTTCGATTAGTATGAGTAATCTAGCGTCCTTATTGGTCCTTATCCGCCTAACCCGCCCACTTCAGTCCAAAACACCAATAGCAGCCTCGGCAATACGAATCGTTTATTTCAAACATACTTTATCTATATACCAGACAGGCAGACCACACCATACCATAAAATAGAAAATAATATTTGTACAAAACCAGGCCAAATGAAGCTGTAAGCGTGGGAGACAATGATCAATAAAACTGAGTATAACATAGGAACAGTAAATCATATAGTAATAATCAATAGGTCAAAATAAAGCTTAGATAATCTAGTTACCGAATAGTTATACAATAAGAATGATAGTCCAATAGTAGGTCCTGCAAGTTACCCGTACTTATTGTCTCCGCTACTACATAACACGATGTATGGTTCTCATATTTAACCAATAGATCAAGGGTCATAGGTACGAGTCTCGCATAAGAGATCGTCTAGGTGAACTGCTTAGGAGTCCCATACTAGGAAAAAATAGCCTTCCAGTGCCTTCAGGTTTTTTATGGTGGTCTAGCTTAAATCTATTCATCAATTCAACTATTAAATACATGCGGTTTCCCCCCCCCCACCTGCGATCTCGTTCATATCATATTTATCTAGTCCATAGTGTTATTTCGTTTTCTTAGTTAAAGTTACCATAATGCCTATCAGTCAAGGTGTTATTCGATGATTGAAGACAATCAATAGTATATTCTGATAATAGATTTCTTACTGGTTCATACTCAACCGTTGATAATAGTGTAATGAACGAGAAATAAAAGAACTTGACTGTTTCTTTGCAGATGCCAACCAATCGTCTCAGACTTCATTGTTC